GAGTTGCCAATGACCCTACCTAAACGCTACTGCGCTTGCGCTACAACAACTCTCTTATAGGTCGAAAAAAGCGCGCTTATATAAAATGCTTAATAATAAGAAAACGTTAATAATGCAAAATAAAAATATTTTCACTATTGAATTTATTTTTTTTTGTAAATTATATTACTTTTTAATAAAAAAAATTTATTTCCTTAATGTACTGAAGAATAATAATAATTTTAATAATAATAATATTCATAATTAATTAATAAATATTATATTGATGATAATAATAATAGATTATATATTTTATAAAAAAATAATGACAATAATGATATAAATATAATAAAATTATGAATATTATTATTATTAAAATTATTATTATTCTTCAGTACATTAAGGAAATAAATTTTTTTTATTAAAAAGTAATATAATTTACAAAAAAAAATAAATTCAATAATGAAAATATTTTTATTTTGCTTTATTAACGTTTTCTTATTATTAAGCATTTTATATAAGCGCGCTTTTTTCGACCTATAAGAGAGTTGTTGTAGCGCAAGCGCAGTAGCGTTTAGGTAGGGTCATTGGCAACTCTGTCCGAAAAGCGCATGGATTTCAAGCAAATTTTATATAGAGAGAAGGAAGGCAATTTTATCATGTTTCTTAAGGTATCACATCGGCACTAATCGGAGTCAAAAGTTTGTAGCTCGCATTACTACTTCCCGCAGTATACTTTCGCCCTCAACTCCCTATACTCTCAGCCCATACTGTACCTACTTCTACAAATACACTCGTACACGTATACCCCACACTAGCAGCGATTGGAAGGAGTAGGAGGTTTGACAACGTCGCTATAAGTCTCGCTTTGACTACTGTGGACTACTGTCTCTCTCTAACTAATGTTACCATCCTGCGATGTTGCCACATCAAAGTGGCGGGTGTGCTATATATTGCAAATGACGTCATGAAATAGAATTTTTAATTTATAATTACAAATAAACGGCACGGTAAATTATAAATTTTTTTGTATATTTTAGTTCCAAATTTATTCGTGAATTCAACATTAGTTTTTGAAAAAAATTTATAGAAAACTTCTGATGATATTTATGAAAATGTACTTCTCCCCCATACATTAGTCCCGTCTCCCATGCAAAATAAGCAACTTTGATTGCTAATATCTCTGGTTTCGTACGGCGAAAATTCTTCATATTTTGCAAATTTGTCAAGAATGATAATAAGAACATATGGTAAAATTTTCAAGAAAATCTATAGAAAACGGTTTTACCGATGTGATACCTTAAGCGTTTATAGTTTACAGATCAATCAGAATTAGTATACATGTCTTTCTAATTTCACACAACGTTTATTCATGCAATAAACACAAGATTTCATGAAAAAATATCTTGCGTGATAAACGATTTTTACATGAAATAGTGTTATGTGAAAAAAGCAACAGTGGCTCATGTGAATATAGTATGATTTTTCTCTCCGTGTGGCGCGGAAAAAAATTTGATCTCAAATAATTAAATTAATAATTGTTTAAATGTGCATCTTTATAAGTATTTGTATCAAAAAAAAATTAAAATAATTTTTTTAAATCATTTTGCAACAGTTATATTAAATATAATAGTAATAATAGTTATTTTTTATGAACGCGCCGTAATTGATGCTCTCGTCGTAATTGATGCACTTTCCTTAATATTTAAAAATATTTAATTATTTATTTCTCTATTTCTTATTTTATAGTTTTGCTCTTAAATAATAATTTTAAGTAATTTTATTGAAAGTTCTATGTATAAGAAAGTGTAATATTTTTTGTAATAAAGGGTAATACTCAGTAAAATATGTGTAATATTTTGTAATACAGTAATATTTTGGTAGTAGTATGTAATACTTGTAAAAAGTGTAATACTAAGGTAATAATGGTAATATGTGTAGTTGTAGTCAAGTGTACACAATTTTTACTAGTAAATTCCCCCTCGACATTAGTATAAAGTTTTGAAAGAATAAAATATACAATACCAAAAAAAAAGTTATGTAGAATCGAGGGGGAATTTACTAGTTAAAAACGTGTACACTTGACTACCGGTATTACACCTCATATTACCCTTATTACTAAGTTATTACACGTTATTACAGAGTACTACACATTATTACAGAGATATTACAGATTTTTTTGCGTTATTACAGCACCGTAATAACGCATTATTACAGGGTATTACACGTTATTACACAAGTATTACAGGAAGAGTGTACACTTGACTACCTGAGTAAATTCCCCCTCGTGTAGAATTTTATTGGAATAATATATCAATTTTCACGAGATAAAATACTGTTATTGTTCTAGAGAGAAAATCTATTAAATTTTTAAGGAGAAAAAATATTATAAATTTTTCATGACGAGGAAGGGTCAAAAATTGGTTTTATAGTTAAATTTTTAATTACTGACTGTGCAATATATATATTTTTTTATGTTCGACTATTTAGAAATCAAAGGGAGAAAAATGACTATTGAAAGAAGATTTATCTCTTTTCTTTTCTTTTTTTTTTTTTTTTAAGATTAGTGCAAGTGGTCGAGGTTCAGCAACCTACATGTGATGTCGAGTAGATCCAAGAACAAGGAACGGTAGCTCATAAATAATCGACGGGTCGGAGCGCGACGGTAGTTTTCACATGAAACATTGATCGGGCAATGCGGATATAATGAATGTATATATCTCTATCTATATATACATATATATATAGATATACATAACAATTACCTATACTCTATCGTTTTCTTTATAGACAATATATAAACTCTTGAGGTTTCTCCAGTTTCAATGTCGAGAAAATAGACAATTTTTTCATCAATCAAAAAAAGTTTTATATTTAAATAAATGAAATATCTAATTTTTTCTTATAATGACGTTTTTTATAGTCATTCAAAAAAAAAAATTGTGTATTTTAATTTAAATAAATATTTTGATTTGCAAATGAAACAAAATTTTGTATTTTCTTATAAAATTCAATTTGTAAATTTTTTTTACAACAAAATTAATTTTTTTTGTTGAAAATGTAGATTAGAAAATATTTATTTTATTATTTTGACAAATGTTTTATTTGTTTTTATTTCTATTTTTATTGTATAATTTTATTTTATATGTATTTGTAATATATTTTGTATGTATGCACGTTTTACCTATATGAGGCAAAATTCCTGAAATGTCCAAACAAAAAATTAAAAGTTCTCTAATTTAATCCATACTTTTCTAAAATGTTTTAATTGTTGGTGAAAGTCTAAAAATCAATTATTATTGTATCTGATAAAATAGTTTTTGAATTACAACGTTTTTAATTTTTGACTTTCGAAAAAAATTTGTTTTTCAATGTACAATATTTATAAGCAGAATGCATAAAATTTAACATATATATATAATGATTTTTAAAGCTTTTTTGACGGGCTACACGCTGTTAATAAATTTTTTTTTTAAAATAACATTTGACCTTGAAATTCAAGGTCAAAATGTTAATTTACGTTTATCTCAAAATCGGATTTTTTAAAATTATTTTTAACTATCTCAATGGAAAGCTTGACTAATTTCCTACAAAACATGTAATTTTCAGAGTGGGATCTTTTAAAGTTTTTTAAATATTAGTTAATGAATTAATTAATGTTTATAACAAATAAAATATTTTACAAACAAATAAAGATATCGTCATTCTGAAGTTAGCAATTGAAAGTTAAAGTAATATGTTAAAAAAGGTCCGAGCATGTTTTCCTACAACTCAGCCGTCAATCATCACTTTTCGCCGCCTCGCTGCTGGGTTGTAAAAAAATATTCTCGAACATTTTTTAACATATTTCAGGAACTACAAAACATTTTTGAAGTTTCAAAGAAGCAAATTAAAGCTAAAAACTTAATGATTGGGTTCAAATTTGAAAAAGTAAAAAATGTTTTATAAAACAAAACATTTTTTAAGTTTCAGAAATGCAAATTAAAGCTAAGACCCTAAAGATTATGTTGTAAAATTGTCAAATTTTTCCATGTATTATTCTAGATTATGCCGGAGTCAAAAAACATTAGTACGAAAGTTGAAAATTGCATAATTTTTTCTTGAAATCTTTTTGGTGTGATAAATACCACAAAAAAAGGAAAAAAATTTCTTGATATACATTGAGAAGCAGAATTTTATCAGCTTTCCAACCATCTAAGTTAGAAGTCTCTATCTTTTTTCTAACTTATAAAATATCTTGCTTTAAAGTCAGCACCAAATTTCTACTCCTCCTACGTTAGCCGTACCTACAATTTTCGACGGTAGTGTATATACGTTAACTTTTATGCATTCTACTTATAAATATTGTACATTGAAAAAAATTTTTTTTTTCATAAGTCAAAAATTAAAAACATTGTAATTCAAAAACTATTTTATCAAATTCAATAATAATTGATTTTTAGACTTTCACCAACAATAACAACATTTTAGAAAAGTATGGATTAAATTCGAGAACTTTTAATTATTTGTTCGGACATTTCAGGAATTTTGCCTCATATGTATGTATTATATAGAAGCTTGTATATTTTTTATGCATATTTTATTTTGCATATTGGTAGAATTTTTTCATACGCGGTTTATTTAAATATGTTTTTTTAACTAATTTAAAAATCAATTTAGTGAAATTTAAATTACGAAATATTTGAAATTAAAAATATATATAGGTATTTCACAAATTCAAGTATTGCACTTGTATATTTTTTTATTCAACCATTTTTGTTATACGTTATGTTTTTTCTTGTGTTTGTGAGTGATTATTTTTTGTTGAATCCGGAAAAGAGAAGATATTTATGCTTTTTTTTAAAAAAGAAGATTATCCAGAATTTATATCTGGTTGGAATAGAGAAATATGTTTAATTTAGAAAAATACAAAACATACAAAATGGAAATTTCAAAGTAAGTGTATATATGTATTTTTTTACAAAAATTTTACAAATATCATTTAGATGACATTGAATAAAATGGCATGTGTTTGGTTCCAGGGTGATATATTCGGAGGACTAAATAGCGGTCTACAAGATGGTTTGCTGTCTAGGGCAGAGGCTTTGGCCGCGGACCTAGGAAAACACAATGGAGGCACTCCAATGCCCTTAAAACATGATCCCGTCTCTGTCTATCATCATGGAGCCCACATGCCAACCCCCCATCCTAATAATCGGCCACATCATCAGGTACAATCACACCTCTTTGTGAGTGCGATTGAAAACTTTTTAATAATTAATTATATTCTATTTTTTTCAAATTATATTTACGATTCCTATGATCTCTCTAAAAAAAATTATTGTTTGTCTACATTTCTGTTATTAGATATTCTTATTTTATAATTACAAAAACAATATTTACACGATAATAAATGAAAATTGATATTTTATTAAATATCACTTAGAAAGATTAATTGTTATGCTAATTGCTTTATTTATATATGGGTGATTCTACAAACGAGGGAATTATGAGCGGTCAAGCTTATTTTGTATATTAATTTTGAAAAAAATAATTTTATTTTTGATGAAAATTGTAAATCTAAATGGTTTCTATTGCACTAAATCAGACAAATTCTCATTCGTCTGGCATCTATTTTTTTGAAAAAAATATTATTTTTAGGTCCTTTTATAGGCTTATGTATTGCAACTTTGAATTCTCTATCGGATAGAATTGCTTATTTTCTTATTTAATGTTGTTTCTACCTTTTTTTTAAAAAAAAAAACTGCCAAATTCTCATTCGCCTGGTTCTCATTCGATTTTCTTGACTTAAAATAATCCTCACTAAATTTTTAAGATGTTGCTAAACTCCAATCTTTAATTTTCATTTTGTATATATATAAAGATGTTAATATAAATAAACAAATAAAAAGTACTTTTTTCCTGTGAATCGTATGAATAACACAATAAAATCGAAATATTATTTATTATTAGACACTTAAAGTACTCTTACAGATTTGTGATTTGTAAAATTATGTTCTAGTAGAACACATGTAATTTGTTATAAACAAATTATATAAACAAGTTACTAATTAAAGCGATACCTTTTATTGATCCTTGTAAAATTGTAATATTCAATCCAATATGGCGGACGACTTTTGAAAAAACTTAATAATTATATTTGTCTGAAAATAATTACTCGGGGGTTTTTGGGGTCGCTGATTACGAATCCGACGTCAGTTTTTCAAAGTTCAAAATGGCAGATCCAATATGGCGAACGAATTTTGAAAAAACTTATTAATTTAAATTGACCTGTTTATCAAAATTATACGTGCAAAAAATGTTTCATTCCTTACTTTTCTTTTTAGAATTACCAGATTACGAGTTTCAAGCCACATTTTCAAAATTTGACTATTTTAAAGAAATATCTTAAAAATTGTGGACTTTTAAAAATTGGACTTTAGATTAGTTATCAATAATTCAAAAACATCTGGATTTAAAATTTAATAAAAATTGAAAATTTTTTAAAAACTCGTTTAATACAGAAGATCTGCACATTTTAAATATGAAAAACTGACGTCGGAATCGTTACCAGCGACCCTGAAAAGTTACGAAGTAAGTTGTTTCCAGTGATTTGAAATATTTGTCCGTCATGTTGCATCCGCCATTTTAAATTTTGAAAAACTGACTTCGGATTCATTTTCAGCCAGCCCGAAAACCCCCGAGTAGAGAGTTTCAAGCAAATCCGAACAATTTAAAAAAAAAGTCCACCATATTGGATCCGCCATTTTGAATTTTGAAAAACTGACCTCGGATTCGTAATCAGCGAACCCGAAAACCCCCGAATAATAAATTTTGTATAAATCCATCCATTATTTTTTGTGTTAATATGAATTTTCTATACACGATCTTAATTTTCTGGATAAATTGTTTATAAACATCCATAACTTTTGTAATTTTTAATTTTTTGTCTGGCCACTTTCAGATATCTTTTTTAGTGTCATTAACTTGAAGTTTAAGTACTTTTCAGACTTTAAATGAGAAAAAAATGTTGTGTCTATATTTTTTCCATTTTCGTTCTTCGTTTGTAGAATCACCCATATAGTGGCGTTCAAATAAACCACACTATCATTTCTTTGAATTTTTGAAATTTGGGGTTAATTAGTCGAAATGTCGTCACACGTCACCTATATATTATATGTGACGCTTCAAGAGAAAATGGACTCTGAATAAGGCAAAAAATTTTATGTTATGTTTAGTAATAGTTATAGCTTCATTAAACGTTTATTTTTAATTATGCAAAAGCAAAATCATTTTCTATTAAATATTTTGGACCTAATAAAGACATAAGCATCAGTGAGTTGTATTAATAGTTGATCCACTTAGTATATTTTCAATTCAAAAAAATGAAAAAACATAACCTTAAAATTTTTTGCCTCTAAGGTCACTTTAATTACGCGGAGCGTCATATATAAGTATTTTAGTTAGATATTTTTATAAAAAGGTAAAATTTAATTTCTCACAATTGCAAATAATATTGAAGAGTATACGTATCGATAAATTAAATAAAATATATTTATCTCAAAGGTAAATAACTATTTATATTTGTTTCAAAATAATAATTAAAATTAAATTGAAAAGAAATGTTAAAAGAAGCTTTTAATTATTTTCTTTTCATAAATATGGACAAAGTTAACGCGTTTTTAATTAATTTATGCAATTTTTTCTTAAGTAACAATCAAGAAAAATATATTTATCATATATTACACTACCGTCGGAAATTGGAAAGCTGATAAAATTCTGCTTCTCAATGTATATCAAGAAATTTTTTTCCTTTTTTTGTGGTATTTATCACACCAAAAAGATTTCAAGAAAAAATTATGCAATTTTCAACTTTCGTACTAATGTTTTTTGACTCCGGCATAATCTAGAATAATACATGGAAAAATTTGACAATTTTACAACATAATCTTTAGGGTCTTAGCTTTAATTTGCATTTCTGAAACTTAAAAAATGTTTTGTTTTATAAAACATTTTTTACTTTTTCAAATTTGAACCCAATCATTAAGTTTTTAGCTTTAATTTGCTTCTTTGAAACTTCAAAAATGTTTTGTAGTTCCTGAAATATGTTAAAAAATGTTCGAGAATATTTTTTTACAACCCAGCAGCGAGGCGGCGAAAAGTGATGATTGACGGCTGAGTTGTAGGAAAAAAAAATACATTATTCTAGATTATGCCGGAAGTCAAAAACATTAGTCCGACAGTACGAAAATTGCATAAAATTGCTTGAAATCTTTTTGGTGTTATAAATACAAAAAAAAGAAAAAATTTTTTTGATATACATTCAGAAGCAGAATTTTATCACACTGAGAGACCTTTTGCACTGTAACAGACTTTCGACAGACGGCTGCGGAGCATTCTAGCGGTCAGCTATGAAACTACGTTTTTGGTCTGCAGCCGTACAATTTTTGGAGCGTATAGCTGTCCAAAAAATTGACGGCCGAAAGGTTCATTTTCATTTTTGGGCAGTCACGATACAAAATTTAGAATGCAGCGCACCAAAACCTATAGTGGCGCTGCAGTCACACACGTAGTTCTGATGCGGTGCAAAAGGTCTCTCAGTGCAGCTTTCCAACCATCTAAGTTATAGAAGTCTCTTTCTTTTTTCTAACTTAAAATATCTTGCTTTAAAGTCAGCACCAAATTTCTACTACTCGCACGTCAGCCGTACCGACAATTTCCGACGGTATTGTATATTATAAAATAATAAGAATAATAATAACAATAATAATAATAATAATAATAATAATAATAAATAATCAACATTAAGAATAATTAACACATTGCTTTGTAGTTTAAAGTAATCGATTTTTAAAATTACTTTATCGTTTAATAAATTTTTTATGTAAACTAAACCTTCTTTAGGTCGTTGAACAGTGATAAAAAGATTATTTTCTCTATTAAAAATCTATTATCATATTTATGATATCATGACGATTATAATGACTGTGATAAATAATCTTCTATATAGGATACCATTAACAATTCATAAAAGGGTAGTTAAATGGGTTCTCTCAAATGTTATACAGCCTATACACTAAAACGAATGAATTTGCTCATATCACATCTCATTTATAGCAATTAATCATTATATATTTTATTTCTACATCCGCGAATGAAATGACATTTTATTAATTTATGGTTTTTAGATTCATTGTTATTTTTTTCTTACTAAATTTTTTAATATTGAAAAAAATGTTAGTACTTACTTTTTTTATCACTTTCAAATGAGAGGCATAAATATTCACTACTAATATAATACAAATTATTACTACAAATTTCTAATGGATTGAATCTAATTATACACAGAAAAAAACCTCGTCTCATTTTTGTTGCAACTCAAAATGATTCAATGCTAAACGTCAAAGAAAGTGGCGTGACCAACTTGGTTCATTTTTGTTGCACAACAAAATAAGCCGCCTAGGCGGCTCATTCTGAGTTCAGTTTTTTCTGTATAGAAATTATTGCTAAATGTTAAAAGAAATTAAAAATATTTAGAAAATATGAGAGATAAAGAAATTACACAGCTCACGTGTTTAACTGACTAACTGCGATTAATTAATTACTGACTCCCCTCTACTTATTTATTGCGTTTGATTCAGAAAATCCTTGGTATTCTTCGAATCTTCGATTTCCTTCCATTACAGACTGAATTTATATTTTCCATAAATAGTAGGGGAGTGTGGGCGAATTGCATCCCCTTAAGGAAAATGATTATACAACCAACTTATTGTAATAACAAAATATTGTTTTGGTCATTTTTTACTCCTTTTGTTATTTGTCTTTAATTATAATTAATTAGAAACTAAGAAAAACAAGTAAATTGACAAAAAAAAAAAAATTTTAATACATTTTCTCCCATTACCACACCTGTGCACTAAAAAAAAATTATTTAATTCAAATACTTGATTAGTGTATAGCGGGGCTAGTTGATCATAGGGGTAAGTTGGACAATCGAAATATCTTAGGAACTATGGGTGAAATATTATTCATTTGACGTCAGATAAGTGTTCAATTTTCATAAAGTTAGTATGTTTTTTGTATCTAGAAAGGATTTGGTTCTAATTGAAACAGTGTTTTTATAACTTCACTTCTTTTTCAAATATTCGGGTTGGGGTTAGTTGATCAATAGTTGCTCAACCACATAGCCGCAATAATAATTAAGTTCATATCGCATTAGGGTCATTAATTAATTACGTAAGAACGATTT